CAGTCTAGAAAGCTCCAAAGTACAATTTCTTCTACATAAATGACCCATTTTAAATAAACATTCATCTTTCCAGAGGTGAAGTATCCCTTTAAGTGTAATGTTCAGCTATGTAGTGTGAATTTGAGCCAAGAACACACACACTTGTTCTGTCGTTGTCCTTCGAGCAGTTGCTGTGATTTAGCAGTGCGGTTCATCTCGCGTCTTGTCATGCATGCCGTCAGATTCACACAAGAGCCGTTTGTCTGCAGTTTGGGTGGACGAACGGAAACGTCTGCTATCAGAGATCCTCAGTGCAGAATGCAGATCTTAAAGTTCTTCTTCAGGCATTTTGATAAAGAATTGCAGGCAATGTTTAATAATAATGATTGGAGAGTGTTTATGTCGAGCTTCACTGTCATTCCATGTGATAATTCATTACAAATTAAACATTTTCTTAATTAAGTGACCGTTTCATGTGCTGAAGAGATTGTTCTCTGAGCTGCTGTGAGTGGAGGTGGGGCTAATTTGCATATTCATAGAACCTCGTATACTAACTAAATGAGGCAAGGGTGTAGAGTTACGTTCAAGCTATTTTAAAGCATGAAGATTATTTTTTCAAGGAAAAAACGTTTAAATATGTCATTTTAGTGATCAAAGATGAGTTTCAAGGGATAAAATTGTTGACTTTAAAACAGCCGATGATCAGGGCGGATTATATCCTGTTAATCAAAAGGGGGTGGAAAAAAGTGCGTGAAGAAAATGTCTCTTGTGTTGAATTTAGGGCAAGTTAACAAGACAATAATGTATTAACAGTTATAAAAATAGCAACATTATCTATTTGACCCGATGAATCACTCAAAGTTTAGTAGTTTAGTAGTCTAACTAACATTGTAAGTGCACCACAGGGAAAGAATACACTATTGTCGTCCCTTTTAATTAGCGTCCATCTTTTTATCGTTTTTTTGTCTCTTCAGCAATTAACTAGAACGATGTGCAAAAAAGTAGGAACATGTAAAGTCAATGAGTTATTCAGATCACAGCTTGAATGCAGGCTTCATTTTTGTAGCGATGAGATGTTGACATTTGTTATGTGTGAAAGACCTGTTTTAATTGGATGTGTTCAGTGTGTGTGGTAACATGTTTACCCTATCAGGCCTCACGCTGTTTTGTCGTCTCTCGACACGTGCCAGCATCAGCCTCAAGAAGACGCGTGGCATGCTGGCATCAGGCGATGGGCTCTGAATAATTCAGTCTCCCGGGCCGGGGGCTCATTATTGGGTGTTTGAGGGGCCGCACAACGGGGCCCCGGTGCCAGCGTGAAGGTTAAATGACCTCGTAATAGCTGAGGGATTCTGGCTCGTCTATTTTGAGTCTTTTTATGCGAAACTGATCTAGGGATGAGCACAACCATATCATAGTAGCAGACGATTAATTCTTTTTCACGGTTTTATCACGGTAACAGTGTCACAATATAGAATTTTTTTTTAAATTAATTTGTTTGTTTGAATGTTTTAGTCTTGATGATCCAGTAAAACGAAGCTGAATTAATAAAATTATGTTTTTTTTTTATTTGATGATCCAGCTGGGCGATTTTTTTTCTTTTCTTTTTTCTGCGTTTTATTTATTACATTTTTTTAAAACCCGATTTTCGATTCGATCATCCATTTAAAACAAAATAACTGCGAACTGTAAATATATTTTAAAAATATATATTTATTGTATTTAATTAAAGTGCATCAACATAAACAAAATTGCAAAGGCAAACTCTTTCTCTAACTGAAAAGTCACTGTGCAGTGTGCAACAAAGATTGTTAAACTTCCAAATTATTTATAATAGGGAGGAAAAAATATAAAAAAAATCTTTTTTTTTTATATGAATCCGCTTGACCTACCAACTCGATTTTTAAATCAAATCTATTTTTTCCCAGCCTTATGATCAAGTGAAACAAAACTAGTGATTTTTTTTTTAAATTATATTTTAATTTTGATCATTTGATAAATCCAAGCAAGTTATTTAATTTATTTGTTTGTTTATAATTTTTGATAGTTTAGTTTCTATTTTTTTATGTTAATTATTTTTTTTAATTAGTGAAATGTAGTGTTTTTGTGTTTAGTTTTTATTTCTTATTTTTTGATAATCCAATGAAACTAAAATTAATTAATGTATTATCTTTTTGTTGATAATCCATATATCTAAATAATTTATTTTATTATTTGTATTTTAATATATTTTGTATTAATATTATATTACACAGAATGTAACAGAACATTGGGTTTGAACTACTTTTAATTTGATAATATGATCCTTGCCTCATTGCGTCAAAGTATCAGGCTGCTTTTGAATGATTGTCATTGGAGAAGCAGACTCGTTTCCTCCATTAGCTTCTGGATCTTGTTAATCAACAAAACAAGGTTTGAGCTGGAGAAATGGATCTTCCTATAATGACCTCTCTCTTCCATTACTCCTCCTTTCAGGCTTGAGGAGGTTTTAATTCAGCTCGTCTCTGGGGTCTTTTATCTG